AGATATAACCATACATTTTTATTTTGTAATTTATTAATATACTGTTTTATTTCAGATAAAAATATATACTCTGGAGGAGTACAATGTTTTATCTGTTTGGGTTGAAAAACATGTGGAAAGACCAGCACACTTTGCATATCATCTCTTGTCTGACTTTACAAAAAGACCTTTATGGGACTCCCATTACGTGTAAGAATAAATTAAAATTTTCCTCTCAATCAACCCTGATATCATGTAAAAGATGATCTCCACATCACTCTTCATCTCCATTGCCTGATGTATAACCCTGTTTTATTAATTAAAAAGTATTTTTCCAAGCTTGCTTTGCACAGAATAATACATCATAATCTATTGAGAGACACAAAATGAAGAGTATTATAATCATTTTATGATTATAAAAGAGCCTCAGGATCCAGGTAAGGGGAGGGATCCAGACTGCAAAAGCAGGGGACAACAGACAGAGCCACAGGGTCCAGGTAAGGGGAGGGACACAGGCCCCACCCCAAGAGGCAAGAAGTGAGAGAAAAGCCAGGGATGACAGACAGAGCCACGGAATCCAGGTAAAGGGAGGACTGAGATGTTTAGAACAGCTAAGGGAGACAAACTTGCCTGTCAATTTCTCTTACTGTGGTGCCTTACATGTTGCTGTGAGGCTGGAGGCTGTGCCACTGGTGTTTCAAATGTCAGCAGGGTTACACATCGTGCACAGGTTTCAATGCAGCTTACAGATTGAGACAGATGAGGAAGAAGGAAGAGGCCATCCACTTCTCAAAGAGTTGGCAGGGAAAACCTTATGAATAGCAGAGAAACACTGTCTGATACATTACTGGGCAACTTTATGAATAGCCCAGAACATTGTCCAATACAGTGCAGGAAGAATGAGCCCCTTAGGTTGGAAGGCTCTCAGAACATGACTGGAAAAGAGTTGCCTCATCAGAGTAGAACCAACCTTAATGATATGGATAAAGTAAACCTTTCAAGACCTCCATTTGCTCACGTGGTATGACTCAAATTGAGGAGAAACAGCGCAAACATCCATTAATAATAGGAACATGGAATGTA